TAAATTATTTGAACTCCCACCTTGTGGGAAGACTAACCAATCAACCTTTAAGCAAAGAGAAGAGGGAACCAATCACATAAAAGGAGGACAAAGCCTCCAGCCAATTAGAAAAAGAAAAAAAAAATAAGGGGGGGAAAGCTGGAGCTTTCCCGTGGGTTTTTCCGCTCACGACCATCCATTTTCCAAGGTTGATTTCGGCTAACTCTAGCGAAGTTTTTCGAAGCCACCATAACCATCTTGAAGCTCTTATTCCCTTCTACAAAACCCATCCAAGAACCACCTTGGTTAACCCCTGTACGTGGCGGTTCGAGGCCACAAAACCCGATGAAAACCAATGGTGTTCCGGCCACCCTTTTCATTTTTTCGACGAATCGGCAAAGCAATGGCCGACACCACCACTTGGGCTTTGTAGCCCATCATCCCAGGAGAAAATCACGACCAGCCTTGACCCCGTTGGAGCACTGAGGAAGAAGAATCGAAGTTCACCCAAGTATAGGGTTATCGACGGGTTTTAACAAAATTGAAGCTCTTCCTGGCCTATTTGGCCTAGGTCACAGTTTCCGGTGACCTCCGCCACTTTCGAGGCCTTTTCCGGCTAAATCACGGCAAGATAGCCATCGTGTAAGGTTGCCCAGAAATTCGGCGAGTTACCAGTTTTCCCTTGGACAGCCGTCTTTCAGACCATTTTCCAACCACCTCCGGCCATCATTTGGACTCCAAGTTGGTGCCGATCGCTCGGGACGCCGCAATGGTTGAGCTAGGAAGTTGTAGCATGGACTCGAGGTGAGTGGATCTTTCCTTTCTCATCTTATGTTTCATGATTGATAATTCTATAAATGTTTTTAAATAAAACTGAGAAGCTTATGCCATGACATATATATATTTATATGTTATAAAATACTGTAAGATGGTTGAGTTAGATTTCATTGTGATCTATCCATATGCGTATTACTATAATTATTGTGAACTACGAATGACTTGATCTATGTTTAGGGTACATAGGCAGTCTAACGAGACATTAGATGCAGCCATATAAGAAATGAGATTAAATAACCGAGACCCTAGCCTTGTTTAAGGAATTGAGCAATATGTGTGGGCTTTTGGTTTTAAGTATATATGTATACACTTCATATTTTCCCAGAAATATGTTTAAATGAGATTATGCCTTGAATGCCATGCATATAAGTTTATAATTCGTATATGAATTGGTATATGATGCATTATATATAATTATGTTGCTGTGAATGCTCTGAAGTGCAAAGGTGAACGTAGGACATTCAGGTAAGTTTAGGTAAGTTTAGGTAAATTCAGGTAAGTTTAAGTAAATTCAAGTAAGTATACGATATTAGCATGATTGATAAGATATGTGATGAGATATGAATATGTCGTATAGGTCACTAGAGGTGACTCCGACTTACATGCTAGCCATGATTGATGAGATATGTGATGAGATATGAATATGTCGTATAGGTCACTATGTGATGAGATATGAATATGTCATATAGGTCACTATGTGATGAGATATGAATATGTCGTATATGTCGTATAGGTCACTAGAGGTGACTCCGATTTACATGCTAGCCATGATTGATGAGATATGTGATGATGTATAAATATGTCTTATAGGTAACTAGAGGTGACTCCGACTTACGTACTATTATGAGATATTAATCGCATGATTATTTGATATTATTGTTCAGGTGCTGTGTTATGGTACGTTATGATTTCTCTGAAAATTATACAGGTGTTGTAACGAGGGATTACATGTGTTATATGTTTTCTATTAGTAATTTACTTACATGGCCACTTACCCTTGTCTTGTCTTCACCCTCCAATTATTATTAGCTGAGTTTTATTATCACCAAAGACTCGCGGCAATTCTTAGTATCAGAGACTATTTTGAGGGTACGATTCTTATATCATTTTTCTGTACTTGCTTATGTTCTATCATCATGTGTGAAGTGAGTTCATTCCCGCTCACCAGAGCACTCTGGTATTTAGGCACTTTTAGGTTTGAATTTATTCACAATTTTCTACACCATCACACTTTATGGCTTCGTCACCTTCCAGGTGTCGGCCAGCACAACTTGATTCGGAGTTCTAGTGGACATTCCGGGTCGGGGTGTGTCACGAGTAATCTTCAACTCATATTCAGTTTTCATTCACGAACATGTGTTCGTCACATGATTATTTATTTCTTGTCGTTACATGTAAGGGGATTGAAAACTGTTCATTGATATTATTTAGTTCAAATTAATTCTCGCAAATGCATCAAGAGTGAGCTTCCTTGAAATTTCATAACTATTAAGTTAAGTTTTCTTTCATAACTATTACTCGTTATTTTTTTAGTCTTTGTTTTGGCTCTGTATACAACTGTTTATTTATTTATAGAGATACTTTCGTTCTCAACTGATCAATTAATTAATCGTTTCTTTACTTTCTTGGTTTGTTCATGCAATTTAAATATTATTTGATTATCCTAATAATTAAAGAGAGGAGCGTAGACCATTGGCGAAAGAGACATAATTTTCTTTGGTAAAGCTAATAAAGGGTTTGCTGTTCTCGATTATGTGTCTCTTCTACTTCTCCTCCGTAATTTTTTAACACGTCTTCCTTCAAATAATTTTGAATTTAACAATGTTTTTTTTTTTTTTATGGATTGAATTTGTTTTTTTCAAAGCTGCGGCATATATTTCATAAGGGTAATGCAAGACTAAATTTGTATACTAAATTTTCACACTAAATAATATGTTATTAATAAGAATAAGCATGTTTATCAATATTTAAGTAATAAATTAATCATTAATTTCCATATCCGTTAGTTTCTAAAACTTTATCTTAACCTGACAATAGACTAATAATAATATAAATCGAATTGTCCTTCGATGAAAAATTAACTTATAAACGAAAATGAATACCATAAGACCTCTCAATAATGTGCATAGATATTGCTGGCATGTATTGACCACTTGGGTTAATGTGATGCAAGTGACAATAAAAAATTATTTTATTTGGATTTTAAAAATCCCTTATTTTATTCCATCAACTCACACACGTCACTATTACTCTCTCTTTTCCCTTTCTTTAGCTGGTACTCCCAGACTCCCTCTATCTCTCTCTCTCTCTCTCTCTTTCTGACACACACACACGACACTTCCCTCACATTTCTCTAGCTTTCTCACACCTCACTCCCTCTCTTTTCTTTTTCCCTCATTTCAACCGACTCCCTCTCTCGACCCACTCAACTTTCTCTCATCTCTCAACTCTCAACTCTCTCACGTAGCTCTCCCCCACTGTCAACTCTCTCTTCCTCTCGGTTATATGTCAAGCCCCCACCATGCCACCTTTAAGGCTCCATAAACACCTCCCAAACTCTCCAAAAATTACTTAGGGACTCTCCACAATTCCTTGGTCGTACCACACTCAGAGGAAAACGGAAGTTTCCGTTTCGTATCTTGACGGAACCCGACGAAGAAAACCATCTCTGGCTCTGTAAGCTTCGATTTCTTCACTTTCTGAACTTTCCTCAAGTTGTTCAAATGATTCCTTGACATGGATGTGGCTTTTGGACGTATCATTTAGCTTTTTCCTTATGCACCATGTTTTCCGGCGAGTTGTAGGTTTTTCCAAGCTAAACCCAACGAAACCTTGTTGTTGTGGTTGAGTTTAAAGGTGTAGGACGACTTCCCACTACCCTTAGGCCCACGGGTTTTTGCTTGCATGCCCAAATCCACTTCGAAACCGACGAAAACGGAGAACTCCAACTCGGGCCGTCACTTTCAGGTCATTTCTGATGATCTCTGACCAACTTTTGACCTTGAAATAGGTATAATCTTATTCATCTCGTCCTACGCTTCGTTTTGATATATTATGGGCAAATTTGGTTGTGAAATGGTTCTGAACGGAGCATTTGAATCCTCCCAAAAAATTCCGACGAAAATCTGCAAAAAATAGAGACCCAAACCCATAACCCGGATCTGCAAGACCGATCCAGATCCATTTCTAAAATTGAAGGGAATATTCTCCGTTAACTCTCTGTTAACTTTAACAGAATATTCATTCTGATGAGGGAATATTTTGTTAAAATTGTTGACTTTTTCGAAATTTTCTCAGAAACCGTCTCTTAGGTTAATTTCGACACCCTGAGTGTTTTTGACATCTATTTAATGAAATTTTATGGTTTTAACGTAGTTGACCACTGGTAATTCGTATCCACTTATTCGAACGGCTACAATTTCGCAAGTATCTATGAGTAGGTCTTTTCGTTTTTACACATATATATATATGTATATGTGTGTGTGCGATTTTTCCCAACAATTGCTTTTATATATTATGATGTGATATGCTATGTTTTTAGCTTTACAAATAAACCTTTCATACACTTTATGTTTTTAATATCATTTGTGAGCATAAACTTGTGGCATGACATCCTTTCATCTTATTTGCTCATTATTACATGTTTGCATGATATATCTTAGTTATTTATATTGTCCTGGGCCAAGGACCGGCTTCTTGTGTAGTTCACATGCACTGTTTACATTCGCTTTGGATTCAAAGTTAAGTGTTAGCCTGTTCTTTTTTGTGATGTTTTGGACTTGTATGTGATGCGACTAGCGCAGCTCACGTGATGTAGTACTAGAATGTAAAACCTACACCCAACCTGCTCCATTGCTAAATATTTCTGCAATGGACTTATGTGCTTACATAAATTAATGAGCATTGATTTCTTATAATAATGAATTGAGATTTGACGTTGAGATATCTTGTTGTTGTGCCTACATTCTTTAGCTCACTTGTGTTGTAGGGTACCTATTACATACTATTATTATAATGTTTTTGGGAACCATATACTTGTTTTACAACGAGGGGTTACACTTTTCGAAAAGGTTTTACAAAACTTTATTTTTAGGCTCACACCCTTGTTTTTTGCCCTTCCAGGATTTTAGTGGTAGAGGTTTCGTGACAACAAGGATTGTTGGTAAAAACTGTTATGTATGAAACTTCTCCTTTCGATATAAATGTCCTTACTCTTCTTTTACTGCAATTTATCTATGCTCTGACATCACTTGTGTGATGAGTTCAATCCTGCTTACATGCGCACTCTAAATTAGTCACTTTTAGGTTTTAATTTATTCACATTTTCCGCATCGCCGATCACTTGAGTCTATAGGCTACCCCTCCTATCCGCTTCTCTACAAGGTCTACTTTCTTCTTCCTTCAGACTAGGCCAAGCCATTGGGTTGTTTAAGTAGGTTGGGCTAGGTTTGGCTTTTGGAGTTATCTCCAAGAAGGGTCGTCGCTCCCTTCATACGCCTTGTTGCTTCATCTAAGTAGGTTATGACTTCGTCACCTTCCAAGTGTTGCCCAGCACATCGCGATTCGGGTGTCTAAGTGAGCATTCCGGGTTGGGGTGTGTCATTCAGCCTCAACCAATTTCTCTCCATTATTTCATTGGTTGTTTTCACCTCTCCCAGACCCTGCGTAAAGCGGGAGCCTTGTGCACTGGGTACGACGATTTCATTGGTTGTTTTCGGTTTAAATTAATCCCACTAGTAAAAAATTCCTGTAGTCTTACCTAAGCCTGACAATTTTTGACACAACTCGTTAACTCGACACGAAACGACACAAAATTAACAGGTTTTTTGGTCGCCACGATAACGAATCGGGTAGTTATCGGGTAACCTGATAAGCATCTGTTAAGATAACAAGTCGGTCCAAGTATACACGTGGGTAACCCGTTACACGATAAAACAAATATAAATTTAATAATTTTAGGGGTGTGTTATCCATACACTTTTTTTTACTTCATACACATTTTTTTAATTTGCGATTGTCGTATTAATTGAATTAAAGAAAATCAAAGGACATAAATTGTGAATTAATTAAACAAGATCAAAGACATGTCGCTGTATTGGTAGTCAAGTTTTGTCTTTTCACTCTGGTCTTTGGCGGTTTCAGCTCTTTCTTGGTTATTTCCTCATTGACGTTAAGGTGGAAATTGTTTTGGCACCACATGCAACTGTTGTTGAGATTTGAGTAATTTTCCATAAATGGATACTTGGATTTCGAAGGGAGCAAGAAGAGCAGAGAAGGAAATAGCTAGAGAGAGAGAGAGAGAGAGGAATATTCACAACTGCAACATTCTAACCGTCGCAGAATGATTATGGCACATGGCAGTTACAAGGCATGTGAGCCATTGAAAACGAAAACTGATCTAAGACCCTACACTTGGCATATGAGCTCAAGCTATCTCAATAGAAATCAGTTACACAAAGGGACAAATAGAAAATCTACTAGGTAAATCATTTACTAACAAGAAATTAGTAAGCAATTTACTTTTCAACAACTGTTAAATATCCAGATTTGATAAACTTGGGTAAATCAAGATTCGAGATCTAAGCAGTGAGGTCAGAGACAATTAATTAAAATTGGTGCAATTTTAAACAGATGCTCTAGTTCTCAATCATCAAATATTTAATCTTTTATTTACTTGCGCACTTTGACAAAAACGAAAACAACAATAAACCTCTCTTCGTAGTCTGTTATAATTTAACTTTGCTTCATTAAGTTCTTGCAGATCGTGTGGAGTCACTTTCCAATGGCGTTGAGCACCCACAGGGCCTCTGCATCTCTTCTTTCATCTGAATCACCTCCTCGATGGAAGTACGATGTATTTTTGAGCTTCAGGGGTGCAGACACCCGCAAGGGTTTTGTCTCCCATTTATACCACGAATTGCAACGACATGGGATTACAACTTTCTTTGATGACCGAGAGCTTGAAGGAGGAGCAAGTATTCCTCTGGGGCTCCCATGTGCGATTAAAGAATCACATACTGCAGTCGTTGTTCTCTCGCCAAACTATGCATCTTCCAAATGGTGCTTGGATGAACTTACAAATATTGTTCAATGCATGAAAGCCACCAACTCAATTCTCCCAGTCTTTTATGGTGTGAACCCCTCTGACGTAGGAAATCAAAGGGGGTCTTTTGCCGAAGCCTTTGCTGAGCATGACAAAAAGTTAATTAGTACTGAAGACAAAACGAAGGTGACCCAGTGGAAAGCTGATCTAAAACTAGTGTCCAAACTTTATGGGTGGCATTTGAGGAACTTTAAGTAAGCATGCATGAACGACTTCCCCATGTGTTATTTAAGTCAAACTTGATTGCTTCTTATACTCCCTGTTTGGTTGTTCTACTTTTCTTCCTTCCAGGTGTGAAAGAGAGCTGATTGAAGACATCGTTAAATGTGTGTGGAGGAAAGTGCAAGCTCCATTCACGATATCAGATTGCTCTCAGAGGTTAGTCGGAACTGACTCTGCACTTGAGCAACTGAGTTTGCTATTAGCTCATGATGCAAATGAGGTTCGCTTTATTGGGATAACAGGGATGGGTGGCCTAGGCAAGACAACCCTTGCTAAGCTAACTTTTGATAACCTTTTCCATCATTTTGAAGTTCACTGTTTTCTTGCCAATGTTAGAGAGGTTTGTGCAAGAGATCATACTCTAGTTGGTCTTCAAAAGAAACTTCTTTTCCCGATCTTAAGGGAAAAGATTGCAGAAATTTGGGATGAAGGGTGCGGAAGCATTTTCACTAAGAAGTGCTTGTGCAATAAGAAGGTTCTTCTTGTACTTGATGATGTGGATCAATTAAACCAACTAGAAGTACTAGCTGGAAATCGAGGTTGGTTTGGTATGGGAAGTAGAATTATTATTACAACTAGGAATGAACGTTTGCTAGTCCAACATGGTATATCAACATTATATAAGATGCAGGGATTGAATTATGGTGAAGCTCTTGAGCTCTTTAGTCTCAATGCCTTCAGAAAAGAACAACCCGAGGAAGATTTTTGGGAACTCTCTGAGCATTTCCTAAAATATGCCAAAGGCCTTCCATTAGCTCTTAAAACGTTGGGTTCTTTTTTGTACACGAGGGGTCAAGATTCATGGAAGAGTGAGTTGGATAATCTTCATAAAATTACTAAGCCAACAATTTTCAATTCACTCAAAATCAGTTATGACGGACTAGAGGAGATGGAGAAGAGAATTTTTCTCGATGTTGCTTGTTTCCACAAAGGGAAGTGCATCACGGAAGTAATACGAATACTAGATAGTTCTTTTGGAATTTCTAGTTGTATTATGTTATATATGCTAATTGAGAGATCCCTCGTAGACAAGGATTACAAAAACAGGATAGGGATGCATGATTTGATACAAGAAATGGCGTGGACAATTGTTGGTCAAGAGTCTGAAGATCATGGTCTACGCAGTAGGTTGTGGCATCCCAATGACATTTTTCATGTTTTCATGAGTAATACGGTAAGGATGTTTGTAAAATTACCAAGTTTGTACAAAGATATGATTTCCTTTAGTATGATATTAGACTTAAGGAATTAATTTTTCCTTTATTCTTAATGTTAGGGGACAAGAGCAATTGAAGCCATATCCTTACGCTTGCCCCAGCCCAAAATAGAAGAAGTACGCCAGTGGAATTGTGAAACCTTCTCTAAGATGCATGGACTAAGGTTTCTGGAATTTGATAATTTGATCATTTCATCATGCCCCAAGTTTCTTCCATGTTCCTTGAGAGTTATGCATTGGAGTTGGTATCCTTCCAAATTTCTTCCAACAAGCTTTCACCCGTGTTTTCTTACTGAGCTTAAGATGCCTAGTAGCAAAATCGTTCGGCTTTGGGAGGGAAAAAAGGTAAGAATAGTACTATAGAATAAATGTTATTTTACAAAATGTTTTCTAACTTTATCAGTGCTGTGCAGGATTTGCCCAACTTGAAATATATTGATCTTACCTTCTCCTATAAATTGATGAGCACCCCAGATTTCAGTGGTCTTCCAAATCTTGAGAAGTTGTATCTTTGGGGTTGTAAGAATTTAGTTGAGATACACCCGTCTATTGCAGTCCTTAAGAGACTCAAAGTTTTGTGTCTTCATGGCTGTGAAAGGATTAAGAGACTCCCAAGTAAGGTAGAAATTGATTCTCTTGAATCTTTCGATCTTTCTTACTGCTCAAATGTGAAAAAGATTCCAGATTTTGGGGAGCAGATGAAGAATTTGTCCCAACTTTATGTAGTTGGGACTGCAATTGAGACAATACCTTCATCAATTGAACATTTGGTAGGCCTTACTGAATTGGACCTAAGGAGTTGCAAAAATCTCTTGAATCTTCCAAGTTCGATTTGTAATTTGAAGTCTCTTAGGTGTCTCAATGTGAATAGATGCTCAAAACTTGACCAATTCCCTGGGGACATGGAGTACTTAAAGACACTTTATTTAGGAATCACCATGAGAGAGCCACTTGTTGGTATGAAAAACCTCGAATATCTAGAAGTTGACGGTGCAGAATCGAATGCTAGATCAAGGGAAGGGTGGGGCCTTCTTCGCTTATTAGGACTTGGAAAGAGTCGTCCTGATCCTGCTTGTTGGGGTTTGTTGTTGTCTTCTCTAAGTGGTTTATGCTCTTTGATAGAATTGGACCTAAGAGACTGTAATCTCTGTGAGGGAGATATCCCCGATGATATTGACTGCTTGTCCGTTTTGAAAAAATTGTACATCAGTGGAAACAATTTCGTCAGCCTTCCCGAAAGCATTAGAGGTCTTTCTAAGCTTCAGCGTCTTAGGTTGGAGAGGTGCAAAAGCCTTCAAGTATTGCCACATCTTCCATCAAATATCAAATTACATGTAGATGCAGACAACTGTACTTCCTTAAAAAGGTTGTGTGATCCATCCAAGTTGAGCAGCTGTTTCGCCAATTTGTATGATTTTACTTTCAGTTCTGTGAATTGCATTACATTGGTTCAAGATGAAGGCTGGATTAATACAATCCTTTCAAGGATTCTTAAATTTGCCGCTGAGGTACTCTCTCTCTCTCTCTCTATATATATATATATATATATTTATGTCTCTGTCTCTCTCTAATTATTAGTATGTTACAGGGACCCTGTCCAAGGTATGGCACACAGATTGTAAGCCCTGGAAGTGAAATTCCAGAGTGGTTCAGCAATCAAAGTGTGGGGCATTCAGTAAATGTGGAGCTACCACCACCATCATGCAACAACTGGCTGGGGATTGCGTTTTGTGTTGTTTTTGAAGATCCTAAGCAAAACTTGGCAAATTCAGCTGCCCTTATTTGTCCTTATACTCTTCGCCAATATGATGAATTCCAGATCGGAGTTTTACCCTGTTTTCCCAATGTCACGAGTCGGCGCTGTAAAGTAGGGAGTCTTGTGTCGGAACACCTTTGGGTATTTTATTTGCCTTCTAAACTATGTCAAGCTGAGCAGATTTCATTCACAACGTTTTATGATTATGAACGCGAACCAGGCTTAAATGTAGTGAAGAAGTGTGGGGCCTGTTTGGTGTACGAGCAAGATTTGGAAGAGCTCACCCAAACACTAAAAATTTTGAAGCGAACACATGAATATTGTGACGAGGCGGCTCCGAGTGGACTTGAAAGTGGTAGCTTTGACCGCATAGAACAAATCCACAAAAGGCAGAAGGAAGGCTAATTGTTAGTAAGTCATCATCTTTATCCCAGTTGTACCTGCATAATAGCAGACGTTCAGTTCATTTTTCTGAGCTTCTTTCAATGTAAGACTATCGCTTTATCTCAGTTGGTTGGCCATGCGGGCACCATAAACTTACGAATGTAAGACTATTGATTTATCTCATACTGGCCGTTGATGATCTCCCTGTCTCATGTGCTCGTCTTAAATATCTTGTTTGCTTTGCCCTCTTAGTGAAAAGACTCAATCTCATGAGCTTAAAAAGCAGTCTGTGGTGTGCAAAATGAAAATATGTCTGAAGATTAATAGTAACTATCAGTAAGTTAACTTCCCAAGGCCCCTTCCGCAAACCAAACAGACCCATACATCGTTATACATTATGTTAGAGAATTTGAGAACATGTCAAATTGTCAATCCTATTTAGGTTCTGTAGAAGGGCAATGAATACCCTGCTCTTGATTGTATATATCCTCAAAATGGAGTACTATTATTTCATGTTTCAAATGCTACTTAGGCTTCACTTTCATACGAAAATCGGAAACCCGTATCAATTGTGCACTTCTGATTTTAAACTCATTAACGCTTTCTTCTATGTTGGTGAACATAGAAGGTGCCCATGGAGAATGATAATGCTCGAGGCGGTGCCAATCTTAAGGAAAATCATGTCTTTAAAACACACTCCGAGGGATTCCACAAGATTCCGTCAACAACAATCTCTTAGCCTCTCTGTCACAAACTGCACTGAAAAACATACTCATAAATTTTGAGGTTACTTGTATGAGCTACTAGTCCTGCCAAAGTGGATTTTCGGAGTCAGATATTGTACATCATCAAGTTCAAGACTTGGCCGAACATCACAGCCAAACGGGATTTCTTCAGAGTCATCAGGAAAGACAGGCCAAAGGCACCCTTGGTTTTCTTGCTGGCAGCAGAGGAAGAGGCGTTTCACCTTTTAAGAATTCTTGCAGCTTCCTTCGCCATTGCCTCGTCACATGGTTTAGGTGCACACAAGCAAGTCCAGTGATCATATCAAACTTCTTTCAGTTCCGGAAGGTATAGTTGCCTTGCCTCTATGGCCATGATGGACCTATGCTTATATACCTGGACTAACTCATACCCTCGCAGCACTGCCCATGAAGTTAAATTGTGTCGCAAACAATCCACCGTAGTTGCAAACCCTACGGTAAAAGGATTGCACAGGCTACCGATCCCATCAGCCCTCTTAAACATTTCCTTTGTAAACCTTAACTGATGCCCCTTCCCTGACAACACTGTTTCGGTCAATTCCTCCCACTTGTCAAATCAATTCCACTTGAAACAACATCAACACGGGCAACAGAGACTGTTAATGTGTGTGTTGGATATGCTTCGATGGAGACTTGGTACAAATCTGGAAAAATACCAGAGAGTGACAGAGAATTGCAGAGAATGATGATGGAATTAATTTCTAGAAGTCCTCACACAATGCATGAGTTGTTTGTTACCGTTATACATGGAAGAGGAAGGGAGATCCGTCACTCATCAAACAGAAATACAATTTCAGCCCTTAATTGCTATCACCCTATGAGATGATGCCACTTGTCTTAATCTATCACTTAAGCTAGATACAAGAGAGAGCTGCCACATGGACTATGATCCAATGGTCTAGATTTAAACTAAAACAACTATTAAAATAAAGCATTTGAATTGTTTCTTTGGCTCCAAGTTTCGGCTGAAGGGGAGACAACTAATTTGTTGCATTACGAAGTCTACAGGTTTTACTTGTTGAGTACGCTTAGATTTTCATGTACGTCTGATGTTTTAGTGCCCATTACTTTAGTCTATAAGAGGGGAAATCGCACTATTCATATGAACAGTGTTTTGGATCACATTTCAGTTTATTTACAAGATGGCCACTCGGATGCTTTTAACTCACTTTCACTTAATTTACAAAATTGCCACTCAGGCTTAAAAACCTTTTTTCAACCGTTGGCTGCATTTCATGTTTGAGTCGGCGAGAGAGAGGGGAGGGGGCATCATGCCTGACAAATTGGAGAGAGACAATCGCTCTCATTTTTGACTTGGAGACAGCTGGGTGTGCAGCTGGCGAGCGGAGAGAGGGGGACAGAGCGACCACAGAGGAAGGAGACACAGTGTTGGAAATGTGCCCTAAAGCCAATCATATGATGATACTTTACGGACATTTTACATGTTAAACTAATCTAGTTTAATATAAAGGGCAAAGATTATTGTTTGAGCCGTCTCATATAAATGTTATATGCTTAAACGATAAAGTCCAAGGAATATGTGATTGGAAGAATGTAATCTAATGAAGTTAGATTCATGAGACCATTCTTTCGTAGACACATCCTAAATGTTCCTGATCATAGGATTGCCAATTGGGCATTGACAGTCCGTCAAGATCGGTACGTGCTATGTCTTCTCTCAGGGAGAGTGACTAGTCTCGAGTCATTGGTGTGTGTGACATCAAGACAAGTACGTAGGTGCTCAGTAGAGAATGAGTTCACTGAACGCGATCAACGAAGAGTTCTCATACTCATGTCACATGAGAACTCATGTTTGGGATAATGCAAATTAGTCCTTTGACCTGAGGCATCACAGTTGTCTTGTGGTTAAGTCCTTGATCTTTGATTATGTCAATGTCACCCCATCGGGGTGTCCACGGCATCGTTGGGGTTAAGCCACTTAGTCATGGAGGCAAGTGAATGCGCAACAAGGGATCTCTAACCTTCAAACCGTTTGAGGGAGAATACTCTATGATATGATTTAGAATCTCTGGCCAGAGTATGAATGAGATTTAGAAAAGTCGTTCTAAATCACATTCAAGGAAATCATATAAGAACACGAATCACATTGGATAGTAGACATGAATAAATAAACTATCAAACCAAACAATGTGGTCAGGAGTATTAGATTAGAGAAAGACCGTATTGCATTTGTAATCCTAAACTGAATAGGTTCTTAACCTCTTCTGATTAGCTTGGGTAACCATGACATACGGCTAGGTGTCACTCATGGTTTGTGGAAGCCCTAAAAGTGTATTATCACTAAAGGGAGAATTGAAAGTAAGTTTCAATTCATAATCGATTTGAAAGAGTTTTGATCGCCCACTGCCTCGCTAAAAGGAACCTAATGGATCGTACACCGTATAAGGTGGAGATGGATGAAACAAACTAAATGAGTAAGAACAATTGAATAGTTTAATTATTTATGGCAAGGATTAATTAATATGTTAATTAATCAAACGAATAAGTTCGTTAAAGACCTCGGGATAGGTTTTGGACCTTAAGGCCCAATGGGCTTCGAACGTCAAGCCCATTGACTTAAGTTGTATGACAACTTAATGAATAATGATTCACTAAGACCCAAAAGCCCAAACAACCCCCCATGGCCGGCCATATAGAGAAAGGGTAGTGAACTTGCTTTAATTACAAGTTTGCCACTCAAATGAATAAAGGTATAAATATGACTTTATAGCCTTTTATTCAAAAAGGGTTTTGTTTTGGAGAAGATTGGAGAGAACATGTCTCTCCATTTCTCTCTAGAAAGGCCGGGCACCATGGAAGTTGTAGCTAGCCATCTATTCTTCCATGGTCACTCATTTATCATCCATGCTCTCCTTGGTGTAGATCCATCCAAATCCATGGATCTTAGATGCAAGGAATGAAGGCCCTATCTCTTGGGTGATTAACCTTTGTTTAAATACAAAGAGGAATCTACAAAGGTATATATTTCAACTCACTTTGTTTTGAGTTGTTTATTGGTTCACCAATCTACTAGGCTTTGAATTTCTTGGTTAATGTTTTGTTTTTAAGTGCATGCTAGCATGATTCCGCCTTTAATTGTTAATTGCATGCTTATTGATGTTGCTTAAAAGAACATGTTTTCACAAAATCTTCCTTCACACAGGGCCTGACAGATTGGAGAGAGATAGGAGCTACGGGTTTGGACTGGGTGAGAGAGAGATTTAGGTAGGTACTCTGCCAGGATCTATGGGATTTTCTCCCATTTTAGAGAGAGAGATGGGCAGGGAGAGAGATACAGGGCGGAAAGCATGGGTATGTGTATTCTTTAGGGTTAACGGGTTACGCATAGAGGCGGTGAGGAGGGGATGGGTGAGGGACGAATGGCAGGGTCTGGGTTTTCAATTTTCTCCCTTGATTCTAAAGGTAATGCACTGCTTTTTTTTTCATTGTTTAGTGTCTAATTGCCATTTGCTTTGTTACAATTTTCATTTATATTTTGTTCTTTCATTTAAATTGTAATGGATGTTTATAAATTTTTGAGTTGGGTGCTAGGATTATGTCTCGGTTTTTGTGAAGTAGGGTCTTCCACTGCTTTAATTTGTTTGTTTCTTGATTAATTTTTGTCTGATTGATCCTTTTTCTGTTTTAGAATTGTTACAATTTTTTTGTTCCTTAATTAAAATTGTCATAGATCTTTACAGATTGTTTAGCTCACCTTAGGGTTAGCTCTTTTTCAGTTTATTGTTTTTAATTGTTGTTTACTGTTTGATTAGCCATTCCATTTATTAAAATTGTCATAGATATTTTTTCTATTATTAATGCTATCATAGATATTTTAGATTGTTTACTTAACTATTAGGGTTTGCTCTTAGTCTTTTCTAGGTTGTTTAGATCACCTCTAGGGTTAGCTGTATGTCCACATTTTTTCCTACAACCTAATCCGTTCTCCTAACAACCATAATGTAGATAAATTTGTGGTGCTCCATTGCACATAGCCAGCAAGCTTCATTAAAGGTATCATAGATATTTTTAAATTGTTTAGTTAACTATTTGAGTTTGCTCTTAGTCATTGTGAATTAAGGGACTACACTGTCTTCATATTTGTGTTTTTCAGATATTTTTGTTCCCTTTGCTTATAGGTAAACAAAATGAAAACTCCTTTTTAAGTTTATTGTTTTTAAATTTGGGAGTTTAGGCTGTTTAGTTAACTGTTCAGTTCACTGTTAAGGTCAGATTTCTGTCTTTATAAATAAAGGGTTGCACTGTGCTCATTGTGTGTTTCTTCATACTTTCCCACTAATTGCTTCTCACCAAATCACCTTCAAGGTCTTTTTCCATTTCACATCATTCGAATATCTCTATGTTGCTAGGTTGTTTTGCCATTTCTTGGTTGCTTCTGTATTTGTGTGATGCACTTTTTAATTTTTTTTTTTCATATGCATGCAGATCCAACACAAGCATACAGATCAAACCTTTCATTCACACAGCAGCCACCAAATCAACCATTTCTGAGGTGTTTGTCTATCCATTTTAAAATTTTGTTACGTTTTGTTAACTTTTATACAAACGAAATTATAATACAAATCTCTATATTGTGTTTGAAACTTTCTAACAACCAGTATGGACAACAAGTTTAGATGTCTATTTGTTGTTTATAGAAATGATATTTTTTCATTTAACTCGACTTACTATGCATCACAGACTATTACATCACCACAATGGATCTCTTTGTTCCATCCTTTCTCCATGTTCTGCTACAAAGTTTTTTGACTTAGTCAATTTAGAAAGTTGGAGGGTTGTACACCTCATTTGCTTTGTGCTAATTTTAGTTCTCATCCGTTTTTCTCATTCTGACAATCTTATTTTGAATGTATACTTATTTGATTTGTGGCTTCTGTGTGGTATGTTGTGTATTCTTAGTGTGTACGGTTTGTCTTAATGAATAAGTACATCGTTTGTGTGTACAGTTGAGAATTTGGATTAATTATATGATTATTTAAATTATCCTTAATTGCTTGGGTTTGGGGGGTTGGGGGGGGGGGCTGGGAAGAAGCAAGACAGAAGGGGGCGGAAGACAGAAAAAAAAGGGCGAGAGAAACAGGCTGCGTTCTTTTGCTTGGATTTTTGTTTGGATTTGTGGAATCACCATTAATGAATATATATGCAATCAGATATATATATATATATATATATTATGTAGAAATGTCCATGAAAGCAACAATAACCAATTTGTCGATTATTGCTCCCTGCTTCCATTATCTGTGATTTAATTATTTTTATTTTATAAAACCATGCATCCATCATAACTTTTCTCCAACCTACCTGACCCAATGCCAAATAATGTTTTGTATATGTTTACAATGATGTAATGTGGCCATTGAAATGATCTCAGAATGAGAAAGTGATCAATTGTGTTTCCGAAGTTTTGTGTCATGAAAGATAATCCTAAGATTCAACAATTTTTAAACATTTTTACATTTACTTGGTAAAGGATGAATCCAACTTCAATCTTAGCTTTTTCATTATTTATTATGCTGCTTTTCTATTTCGAAGTTCTTATTTGTTTTACTTAGCTTTAATTTCATTTGATTAGCTTTATTAGATTACATTTAGAGTATGTCTATGCTTTGAAGCTCTGACATTTCCAGGTTGTGATTTGGTTTAAGGTTTTGTGCTTGCCTTTGCTTCTGTGCATAAAGAAATTTAAGTGTTTTTCTCAATTTGTTTTGTTCTGTACATTCAATTTAATTATTTTTGTCAATTTCTTTTCGTAATTTATTTTTCTCAGTTTGGGTGATTTGAACACCTAAATTATGTTCTGTTTTATATCCTGTTGATTCAAAGAATGGCCCTTTCTTCTGCCAATCATTTGAACCTGAATGATTAAAAACAGTTCACATTTGCTTCCATTTCCAGGCTGTCATTTGGTTTAAGGTTTTTTAAATTTCCTTTGCCTCTGTGCATTTCAATTTCAATGTTTTTGTCAATTTACAGTGCTTGCTAAATCGATTTCAAGGGTGGAAGTATAGCTAAAACCCTCAAGAGTTTTAGTTACTTATACTATTTCCCCATACTTTCCAGATTTCGTTTTGGATCTTAATAATAGTTGCTATATTGCTTTAAATTGTCAATGATTTCAGTTCTTTGTTTTATTTTCTTTTTGGAACTCATGAGTGTGCAGTTTGATCACTGAGTTTGACAAACAAATATATAGAACTTTTCAAATAGACTTTAAATTTATCCCATAGATTTTCTCCTTTTCTTTTTCTGATTGTTGTTGCCATGCTGAGAAAAAAAATTATATTAATGACTGTTCATTTGCCTCTATAGTATTTCTTAGTTATTTTGATCTCCACTGGTTCTCTACATGGTGTGGTTTTTCAATCAGTTAGCAGTTTTTAAAAATTGAAAAACATTATAGTTGTAAGCGTAATCATTTGATTAGTCTGCCTTATAGCATAATTCCTGGACACCAAGGATCTAACCATGTACAAGGCCCAACTATATAGTTTGTTTCTATTTGCACCTGGTAGGCTTTCATTTCAGTATAGCCTTTCATTTCGTTTCATATAGGTTAGGCTTCTTTTTCACCATTAGCTATCTTCTGATGATAGTTTAATAGCACTTGGGAATTTAGCGCAAATAAGTTATCTACTCTATTTATTTCTACTGAGCAATATATCTTTGCCGAGTAATATAGTTGCCCGTTTCTCTGTTTCGATTATTTTATCTGATAAGAACTCATAAGTTGCCTATGTTTAAAGCTACTTCATTTGATTGGTGTTTTAGTTTGTGTGGTTTACCCAGAAGAAATCTAACACTGTAAGAAGCTGGATTCTGGTGGAAATTGGACAACTTTGTGGGGATTTCAAGGTCTTTCTGAGAGGTGAATGTTTTGGAAGGTAATATTTTGTGTGTGTTTATATATTCTCATTGCCATGTAATATTTTGTGTTTAATACTTTTGATTCTCCTTTATGTTTTAGTTGATTCTTACCCACTATCACTCTGCCCCAGACTTAAAATGCCTAAAATCAAGTCAAAACTTACGAAAACTCACATATAACACTATCTTTTTTGCTATGTTAGTACCAATCTGTGAGCATTTAACAAATACCTTCCTCGCTGCCAGTTTTGATTGCTGATCACTTTTTGCACCAGTGCATACCTAAAGTACCATAAAGATTAAAATTTAAATATCTTAACCAAAGGCATCCAAGGTATGATGGGTGCATAACTCAAGATTTAAAATCATAAATAAGGGAGAGCAGGGAAAGGAGAGGGTGTATATCAAGTTGAAAAGGGTCGACAAAATAGAATGCAGTAGTTACCTGGGTTGTGGCATGAGTAAACTTAAAGCCAAATTTATTACCATAGAAGTTTAGTAAATAAACATGCGCATAAAAGGATCAGTCCATTACTAAATATATATCTTAAGCATCAAAATTTAGGAAGACTGATGCTTGCTTTTTAGCTCTTGAAGTATTGATTTTAGGTGGTTCCACCTTTAGGGCTTGGGTTAGCAATGAAATAGATGAATAATAGCTTGAGTAATTACAAGAGCTAATGTTAGTGATTAAGACGGGTTAACATGCAAAAACTTCCAGTCTTTACAAATGTGAGCTTTTTCAGTAGGTGTGTTTTGTAATTCATCATATTTGTAAATTTCCTTTGTTTTTTGGTCTGTCTTTGGTCATTTAGCTAAAATTTCTTTAGATTTGCTCTTTAAATTTGAAAGTCTCTAAGTTGCTAACGGATCTACATTGTTTGCAGATTTTATAAATTTGGATCATTTAAGGAAGAAGTTGGTTCCATCCTGTTTTGAGGTATATAATTATGCGCCATCATTTTTGTTCAAAGCCTATTTAGCTATCTACCTTTTTTAATTTATATTTGTGAAGCTTTGATGCTTAGATTTTAAATATATAATTCAATTTTTTATCGTTTGAGCTTACATTGGAACTGGGTTTCTTTCTATTTAGTGTGCGTATCTGTATCTGTTCGTTAATGTCAAGGCTGAGATAACTAAGCATCCATTGAAGTTTGACAAATGCTTATATATACATTTAAGTTTGAAAGGGATGGAATTGTTTTCTTATTTAGTAATCGCCCTACATATATATATATATATATATATAAAATGTATGTATGTATATATATAATGTATGTATGTATATATACTTTTGGTAGTGTGTCATTACCATATGCTTTTGCTCCAACGATTCTAACCTAGATTATATCATATACATACTTTTGGTAGTCTGTCATTGCCATATGCTTTTGCTGGAAATGATGTATCCCTCCTTGCTTTTACTTCAACTACTAAAATCATCTGCTACCCCATAATTTTCACCAACCGTACTCCACAGTGAACCATTATTTGCTCTGTTTAACCTATTCCTTCTGAAACCAACGTTCTCACAATCTAACCCCTGTACTAATTCAGAACCGACTCGGATACCTCATGCTTGCTTTAGGCCTTTAAATTAATATGGTGACAGATGATGCATTCCCGTTGTTAGCAGCTTTTCTTTCGTGAAATGTAAATTTGTCCTAGATTAAGTTTGTTGAACTGTCACAGGTAGAGTCCATTGCACTGTCGTAGATTGAGTTACTTTTCCTGTGTCCATTTGTTTGCGCTTTGAATTTTGACTCTCAATCTCACTGATTTGTTGTAGTTTAGATCAAAGTCTCATTACAACGTCGTGATCTGCTCTTCTTCTGCCTTTGATCTAGGGGTTCAGACCTATTGCATTTGAATCAAGGCTTTGGTATGTCACCTAAACTAAGATGCATGGTTTCCCCATGCTTTCTGTTTGAGTTAATGCAGATTTATAATTTTTCAATCGATTGTTTCGTTTTATCAGCTTATGTCATTCGTTTGCTTTTTTTGCTTTGTTTCTCATTCTTGGTTATCTCTGTGATCCTTTGATACTTCTCAAGTTCATTGGTTTCTTTGTTTTTGTTGGTTTTAATTTAGTCTCAACCATTCTATTATTGTTCAAAGGTGCATTGATGTCATTTGTGATTTTGCTTTAACCAGGTGTTCCTAATTCTTAGTCGAATGTTGTTAGCCATTTTATATGTTTTTTTGTCAATTGCTTTCTTTCTTTGTTGCGTTTTCAATTTTCCAAACCATTCTTTAGACATTAGTTACTTTGGTTGGTGTTTTGGTTAGGTTTTCCTAAGAGTCAACCTTCTCATCCCTCCCAAAGTACTTTAATGAGTGCTGTTAATAACTACTCTCTCCGAATAAACCTAACTTATATCCAAAAAACTCATAGCTTCTATATTTGAGTTTTAAAAATCTTTTACAATGTTATTTTAAGACCTACAAGCTAACTAGATTTTTCTTTCTAAAATACATAAATATTAACGTTCTATTTAATTTGTCATTCAGGGTTAATAAAATGGTGAAAGACATTGATCGAAGCGAACAACAAATTCTAGGAGGTGTTTTGGTAAAAAATTTAAAGGAACTGATTAAGGCTCGACACGATGAAAAGAATGAAGGAACGATAAAGAAATATTCCGATATTGCCCCAGGACCCAATGCAAAGAAATCAGTCAAAATAGAAAAAACAAGGTTCGGTTTGCGTGTTTATGGTAAGGGCCCAAACCGAAACAAATTGGTGGTCCACACTATCTATTCTCTTGAAAATTGTAGTAATTCACCAAAAGAACAAGTTCCGTTGGATGAAGCAGTTTAGCTTTTGTTTAAAAAGGTTTATCAGTGGTATCTGCACGTTTGGTTGTTGCAAGAAGATTCTAATTTTTTTGCTCTTCCTTTCCTCCACTGTAAGGGCTTTTTGGGCTTTAACTGTATAAAGACGGAACAGTTGTTAGATAAGATAAAGGCTGTGTAATTCTTTTTTGTTGGGTCATGATGCCAATTATGTAAACAATTAACCTTTTTACCGTTTGTATAATAAACTATTGGCATTACTCTTTTTTGCACCTCTTTGTTACACTCCTATCTCGCAAATTAATTTTTTTTCCTAACAAACCTAATCGATCTGGGATTATGATTCTTTGCTTATATATTTTTTGCATTTTTGTTGTTAGTAAATAATATCCTTTGACTCATGCTTCTTTGTTAGGTATAAACTTTTAAGACAATTGTTATATTTATGTTTTCGAATTCTTGGTGAACATGCCGTTCTCATAAACAAAATGTTTATTTCGTTATGTGCTCTTATGGCGAAATTGAGAGAATTTATTTTTAAATTCCAACATTAGTTGGTATTTATATCAATTCTATTCTCTTTTTAAACTCTTCAAATTTTAGTTAGTTCCTCAATAATTTTTAATTCGTTTCTCCAAAAAATATATTTGTGTGGATCTTTGGCTTTGTAAGTTTTGTTTTTGCAGCCATATCTAAATTGTTAAAAACTATGTTAATTAATGTGGGTTTTCGGTTTGTTTTTCAAGTGGGGAAGAAGTGAGCGACAGATTTATATTGTTACTTTCGGTTACTATGTAATTATTTCAATATGGAAGTCATGGATATCAAGTAAAAATGCAACAATTTAAAATACAAAAGGTACGTACGGTGTGAAAAAGGTGGGTTTAAAGATGGTGACGTTTGAATGCATGTCAAGATTGTTACTCATGGTTTTGTAGTTGTGTTGATAGTCGTAAAAAATGATGACAATGGTTACCTGACTATTCCTTTGCAGTAAATTTAAATGTTTTGGTCTTTAGTAACTACTCAACTTATTACTTTTTAACTACAACAAATGTGATTCATAAAGTTGAATTTGATTCTACTCAAGGGTGTCAATTAAGGCCTTACACTTTACATCTTGCATAATCTATTGGTGTTAAGTAAATCAAACCTAAATAATTTTTTCCTTTTTGTCAATTTTATGAATGCATGTCTTGCAATATTAATGTTGTTGAGTTGTGCATTAGTTTTTATAGTTTGATATTTGTTCTATTTTTCGCTTCTCTCTAATTAAATATATTTTTATATTTTGTCTTTCTCTTCCTGTAGGTTCTGTTTTTATCGTTACAGTCCTTTATTCTTTTTTGGTGGCATTCATACGCATCTACGCTTTCGTCTATATAACGGTTAGATTTCTATCACTCTTAAGAAGCTTCACCTTTTTTATTTGCTTTTACTTTTTTCTCAATTTTCATGTCCAATTGTTGATGCATGCTTTTTTTAGATCATAATAACATCGTTATTCAATATTAATGTTGGTTTCATTTATCACAATTTTTTAGCAATTGTCGTTCACTTAATTTGTTCATTTTCCACTCTTTTTACTATTATGTTCACTTAATTTGTTCATTTCCCACTCTTTTTACTATTATGTTCACAAGTGGTTGCGATTTTGAAGACCTCTTGCTTTAATGGGCTATGGTTTACCGCTTATTTCATATGGTTCACCATCACATTACTTTTATTAGAAAGTAAACAACTGCCGTTTGGTTTTTTCCGTTTATGTAGAATTATGTCTAGCAGAATAAGGGTATCAAAGCATAGCAGGATAGGGGTATCTAAGAAGGCCATTAGAACTCAACGCACCGATTTGCCTACATCTACTGAGATTGTTAATCTCAATGATATGGTGTTGCAAGATGTTCCCACCGCTTATGACGATGAATACAACAGTACTTCAACCTCTTTAGTATTCTCAAACAAAGGAAACAATAGTCTCCAAACATTTGCACCAAGTTTTGAACAAAATACTCCTGTTGGTGGTGTTTTTATGTCACATTTGGCAGCTGGAACAAGTTCTCATCAAGTTTCTGTACCTCTTCTTATCGCTGATCATGCCATTGTGCACTCTCTATTGGCCAGAAATACTCCAAGTATTCATTCTGTTACAAACCCGCTCATTATTGGGCAAGCCACCTATCAGAAAAAAAGAAAGCGTATGCACTCTTTCAATATAACTTTTTGTATTTCCTTACGGATTGCAAAATTTGACTTTCCTCCGTTAATTAACTTCTATCAATTTGTTTGATGTAGCTTCTATTACTCTTTCTTTTTATAGGGATTGATCCAGAATACGTTGATTTTGGATTAAGAAATTACCAATGTCAGTATTGCAGTGCTCTATTTTGGTCTGCAGAACAGACAAAAAAAAATCCTGAGTGTCCTTCTTCTGTTTCTACCCTGCAGTTTACTGCATGTTGCATGACTCAAAAAGTGCAATTCCCACGTCCTAAACCCACTCCCGCTTTTTTGGATCATTTGTTAAACCCCACAAATTCTCAAAGTTTTTTGCAGTTCAAAAAAATTATTAGATCATATAATTCAATGATGGCGTTAACTTCAATGGGGGCCAAAGTTGATGGATCGATCAACAAGGGTCGAGGTCCATATGTTTTAAAATAAATGGTCAAGTGCATCATTTGATGGGTTCTTTGTTGCCTCCAGAAGGCAACGATCGTAAATTTGCACAATTGTACATTTATGACACTCAAAATGAAGTCATCAATCGTATCTGTTGTTTCAACAGATCAGAAGCATCTGAAAAACTCAATCAACAAGTTGTTGGTGGCCTCATTAAAATGCTAGACAAGTGTAATGAAGTCGTTCAACTTTTTAGGCAAGCCAGGGATAGAATTGATGAAAGATCCACAAGTAATTTACGCCTACGTTTGTACGGTGCACAGAGCAACCATGATATGCAGTACAATCTACCGGCATGTGACGGGATAGGTGGCTTGATAGTTGGGGACATCGGCCAATTTCACACCGAAAGAGATATTGTTGTGGAGCATAAAACAGATGGCCTACAGAGAATCACAAAGTTACATCCTAAATACATGGCTCTTCAATATCTTCTTTTCCCATACGGTGAAGATGGGTACAAAAAAGGTCTTCCTTGGAATCCAAATTTTAGGGGGAAAAAACCAAAGAATGGGGGGGGGGGGGGGGTAACAATGAGAGCATTTTTGGGTTATCAAATTCAGGATAGACCAGGACAAAGTGACACCCTGTTAAAAGGCGGTAGATTGTTTCAACAATACTTAGTTGATGCATATGCGACTCTTGAAGAAGATCGGTTAGACTTCATTAGGTTAAATCAAGATTCTTTTAGAGAAGAAGGTCTTAAAGGAATTCATGAAGCTCTCAAAGCAGGAAATGCAAGCAGTTCTGGTGTTGGTAAGAGGGTCATTTTGCCAACTTCGTTTACTGGCAGTGTTAGATATATGATAAATAATTATCAGGATGCCATGGCTATATGTCGTCACCATAGAAATCCTGATTTATTTATCACTTTCACCTGCAATGCTAAATGGCCTGAGATGATTGAAGATCTATGTGATAAACCTGGTTGTAAAGCTGAAGACAGGCCAGACTTAACTTCTAGAATTTTTAAAGCAAAACTTGACCATTTGATAAAATACCTCTAGTCAGGAAAACCTTTTGGTGTTGTCGAATCAGGTTAGTTCGTTACACTTGACCAATTTTTTCCGTTGATTTGTTTCAATCTTATCACAACAAGTCCTAAGAGTCCATGGTTTTAATCTATCTACATGTTTTTTTTTTTTAAACAGTGATTTACACGGTGGAGTTCCAAAAAAGAGGCCTTCCTCATTGTCATATCTTGCTCTGGGTTAATAAACATTATAAGTGTCATTCGCCTTATGATGTTGATCCTATCATTTTGGCTGAGATTCTTACTGAAGAATGTGACAAAGCTGGGTATGATGCAGTTTCGCAATACATGATACACGGCCCATGTGGTGTTGCGAATCAATTTTCGCCTTGCATGAAAGAAAACAAATGTTCAAAAAAATTTCCTAAATCTTTCACAAATGAAACCACTTTTTCCACAGAGGGTTTCGTTGCATATAAGCGTCGAGATATAGAGAATCTGTTTGTTCTAAAAAATGGAATCAAGCTTGATAATGCATTTGTTATCCCTTACAACCGTGAGCTATTATTGAAGTATCAAGCACATATAAACGTTGAATCATGCTGTCAATCAACACTCATTAAGTATATTTTTAAGTACATAACTAAAGGTGTTGATCGAACTAGAGCTGTTTTTTAGGATGAGGAGTTTGATGAGGTTGTGGCTTATTTAAACTGTAGATACTTATGTCCATACGAAGCAGTTTGGAGATTGTTACAGTTTCACATTCATTTTAGAGAACCATCCATTGAGAGGTTGTCTATACACCTTCCAGCTAACCAAAATGTTCTTTTTAGAGATACTGATGACCTAAACTATGTTGTCAACCAACCTAATCTTGAAAGCACTATGTTAACACAGTGGTTTCAAACCAATGCCCAAGACCCTGATGCACGTGTGTTATCTTACGTTGAATTTCCTACAAAGTATGTTTGGAAAAATGAAGAGAAACAATGGACACGTAGAAAAAGAGGTAGATCTTTAGGAAGAGTTGCTTATATTCACCCTGCTGCGGGTGAATTATACTATTTGAGGTTGCTGCTGAATTACCAAAAAGGCAGCTTCAGTTTTGATCATTTGAAGACCGTCAAAGGCATTCTTGAACCAACATTCCGAGCTGCATGCACCTCGCTTGGCTTACTAGGAGATGATAAGGAATGGAATAGCGCCATGTTAGAAGCGGTTGTCACAGCGTCATCCTTCCAATTAAGGCAATTGTTTGTCACATTGGTTCTCTTTTGTGATGTTACTGATCCATCAACTTTGTTTGAAACACATTGGAAAACGATGTGTGATGACATTTCGAAAAACATGATCAATGCTTTTGGCCTGCAAGATCTCTCTAACTACCAAGATCAACTTAGAAACTCACTTTTGTACGAGTTAGAGAAATTGTTTACTGCTTCAAATAGTTCTTTGTCGAAGCATAACCTACCACAACCAAACAATTCGATGATGGATAAACTTACAAATAGGAGTTTAAGGGAGGAGTTAGATTATGATGTTCACTCACTAAAACATGAGCACTCAATCCTAATCAGCCAATTAAATAGAGAGCAAAAATATGTTTATGACAATGTCATTGAAACAATTCACAACAACAAATCTGGACTATTCTTTGTACATGGTCATGGTGGAACAGGCAAAACTTTTTTGTGGACCACCATTATAGCTAGAATTAGATCCCAAAATCAAATTGTTGTAGCAGTCGCTTCATCTGGAATTACCTCATCTTACTTCCTGGTGGAAGAACGGCTCATTCTAGATTTAAGATTCCTATAAACATAACGGATTGTTCGGTTTGTGAAATTAAAAAAAGGACTCATCTTGCAAAACTGATTGCTAAAGCTGCTTTCATAATTTGGGATGAAGCCCCCATGAATCATAAACGATGTTTTGAAACTCTAGATAGATCCCTTCGTGATGTTCTTAAAGGATCAAAACCAGGTTTTGACCATTTACCGTTTGGAGGTAAGCCGATTCTTTTCGGAGGTGATTTTAGGCAAATTCTTCCTATTGTTCCAAACGGAAGTGTCGCTGACGTTGTCGAAGCTTCATTGACGAGTTCATACCTTTGGCCCTGTTTAACAATTTTTTTCTTAAAGCAAAACATGAGGCTTTTGAAAACAACTCTGGACGAAACAGAAAAACAAGAACTCGCAAATTTTGCAAAGTGGATATTAGACATTGGAAACGGTACTACCGCCAATTCTTTATCTTCAACTAATGAAGAAAGCTCTTGGGTTCAAATTCCAAACCAATTCCTTATTCATTTTGATTAAGATCCCATCAAAACCATGGTTTCAGCTGTGTATACAAATTTCAAAACTAATTTTCGAGATGTACCATATTTGAAAGAAAGAGCTATTGTGACACCACGCAATGATACAGCGACTGAAATAAACGATTTTATGTTGGGTATAGTGCCCGGCGAAAATCGTACCTATCTCAGTTTTGATTCGGTGTCTTCTTCAACGGAAAATTTAGAAAATTTAGATGTGCTTTATCCAAATGAATTTCTAAACCAACTTGATTTACCTTGTTTACCGCACCACAAGTTAGATTTAAAAGTTGGTACCCCATTGATGTTGCTTAGAAATTTAAACCAAAGTAGTGGATTATGTAATGGAACAAGATTGGTTGTGATGCAATTGAACAACAAAATTATACAAGCACGAATCATAACGGGAAGCAACATTGGTGAAACAATTTATATCCCTAGGATTATTACTGAATCATTTCAGCATAAATATCCCTTTACTTTGTGAAGGCGACAATTCCCTCTTAAAATTTGTTATGCAATGACAATCAACAAAAGCCAAGGACAATCCTTGAAAATTGTTGGCCTTTATCTATCGCAAACTGTTTTTTCACATGGCCAACTATATGTTGCGCTATCCAGAGTCACCTCCACAAAGGGTCTCAAAATCGTTATTGCTCACGATAGCGACATGCCCTATGGTTATACAAAAAACATAGTTTATAAAGATGTTTTAAAACATTTACATGAAGGTATAAGTTTGCATTATTATTTTATCCTTTACTTTATTTTTGTAAACATGGCTACAACATTTCTTTAATAAATCATTGTATTAAGTTTTAAATTTAATATGCTTCTCAATTGTTTGTATATGTAGATTAATGGAGCAGCAACCAATTCGTTTACTGAAGCCATACCAGCCAACAAACAAACTCCAAATTAGGGTATGCAGAATGTGGACCACAAAGAGCATCGGAGATAATCCTCAACCTATAAGTCTTGATTGTGTCTTTATTGATAAAGATGTAAGACTTTTACACCTTTTTACTTTTCGTTCAATGCTAGCATTCTTTCGTATCCATAATGTGCACACCATATTCTTAATACGATAAACATAAGATCTTAAATGCTATCTAAGTAGCTACAACTACACTATACGTACTGTTTTTGTTATTCTTAAACTACATGCATTAAATGTTATACCGCTCATTTAGTGTTATCTCTCATTTTTTATTTCTTCTTCTAAAAGGGAGATGTGGTTCACATAACCATGAACGCTCGAGACATCCAATTTTTTTGGACCATCTAAGTGTAGGCAATGCATACGAAATAAACAAATTTCGTGTCGTACACAACAGGAGATCAAGCAAGGTTATCCTTCATGCTGCGATGATTGAATTGAATAAGAACATCACAATCGTTCCTATTCACAAAACAAGTCAAGAGCTCCCAATGCACTGGTTCAATTTAATTGAACTTGATCAACTTTATCAAAGAATCAACAACGATGTTGAGCTTACAGGTAACAAATTTAGTTTCAAATGTCGCTCTAACTTCTAACATGATAATTTATTTTTTTATTTTTTGGCTTCGGTGTGCACTCATTCCCGCCGCTTAATATTATATGTAGATGTGTTTGGTTGCCTAACGGCTGTACAACCGACTGAAGAGATCACTATCCAAAAGACAAGAGTTGCAAAAAAGAGAAATCTTAGCCTAAAAAATATTAAGTAAGTTTTGTTTACGTTAAACTCTGAATATTATTTATATGGAACCGTATTTATAACATATACAAAACTGCCATCATTTGTATTACTTACAGAGACGAATCAGTGAGAATCACCTTATGGGGAGAGATTGCAACAAATTTTGAGAACAGTGGAATACAATCGCTTTTGCCACCTGTATTTGTGGCTTTAACAAGCCTCAAGGTCAACCAATACCAAGGTTATGCCCTGCCATATTTTATCTAACTATTTAAAGTTTCAATTTATTGATTTTTATGTTTTATTTATAGGAAATCCTATTCTCGGAAGCACATGATCAACCGTTTGTGTTTTCAATCCGGAGATTCCGCAACTCTCCGAATACAAACACAAGTAAAATGACAATCCTTCATTAATAACTTTTGCATTTATATTTCTTCGATTAATCTTTCTCACCCTAAACATGCACAAAACAGGTTTAAACATCTTAGATCACCTGTTCAAATCCTACCACCTCAGCTGAGATGTATAAAGGGTGCGCAGTCGATGCTAATGCTGAATCAAAAACAATTGACCAATTGCTACTACTTGATCCTGCATTGCACAAGGTTAGTTAGTCATCACCAACATATTCACCAAAATCACCTTTTTTTTCAAAATAGAATTTTCATATTGCATCTAACTTGACAATATCTTGCTTTGTTTCTCTATTTGTTGATACTCCATTTTTCCAAAATGATGATTAATATCTTTAATGAGTTCGAAACCATGTGTTTCCATAACAGAATACAAGTTTCGTATGCCAAGCAACTATTGTTGGATTTGATTTGACTAGGGGTTGGTGGTACAAATCATGCCCGTCCTGCCATAAAGTTGTCAAAAACAACTCTAGATCGTTTGAGTGCAATGAACATGGTTTCATAAACAGATTACCCGAACCATGGTAATATGCTTTTACACCTATTTTATATCTAATGGTTATATTAAGTTGGTGAGTCCTTTTTTATTATCTTGCGATTATGACAAATAAGGGTCATCTCCCCAATCATTACGTTGTTACTACTGTTTCACCTTTGGGGGTATATTATTAACATCATTGTAAATATTCCTGCTATAATATGTTACGGTAGTTTGCACCTATACTGTTTTCCCCACCTTTAAACAAGAAACTAAAGAGTTTGTAGAACAACCATAATCATAATACATAAATGATACTTCAAACTTTCAATCATATACTTTTCATTTTGCATAATATGTTGACGTGAAGTAAATTATTTCTTAATAATTTGTGTCTTTCCATCGATTTTATACATGCATACCCTACATTATAATAGTTCTACTTCATTTCCTACATTTCTCACAAGATTGATATTAGCAGTAATGTTTACCTAACAACCATATATCCTCATCTTACGTTGGTTCAAAATAGATCTGATTGTGGAAGACAATACGAATCAACACAACTTTCTCATGATAAGAAAGCACGCTGAAAAAAATACTTCGTGTTTCTTGCCACACTTTGGTGATAGAGGATGGATATGAGGATCCTTTCATAGTTCCACCAACTCTAAAAAATTTGGTTGGCGAGACAAAACAATTTCAGCTCTCTTTTGGAAGCCAAAACACTAACTTTGGGAAAACGGATTTCATCGTTCATGGACTACTACAAGATCAACCGCACTCAAACCCAACAATTGCCTTAATCACACCACAAACACCTGTTACCACCGTAGGAAAACAAATTTTAACTGAAGCGACCCTTTCCCAGCAACTACATCAACAACCCCAACCAACTACACCCACAAAGACTTCAAAGAGAGCGTTGTTTCCTGATCAAACAGAGAAATCTGACAGGTAAAGTTCTCTTCTTGCTTAATGATCTCATGTGTAAATCTTACAAACCATGCTTCTCTTAGGTATATGAATATGTTTTCCTACTCATGAAAAAGCTTCACACCACTCTTTCGCACTCTTTTGTCACTCTTGCATTCATCTCTAACCTTTTAAATTTGTACCTTGACTCACAGCAAAAAACCTCGCGGCGACCAAACAGAGACAACCAATTCTGCCAGAATTGCTAGAGAATTCCACAATATGGTTGTCCCCAAAATTGAACCAGCCGACAAAGTGCCGTTAGCCGCACTCAGAACAAAATCTCAAAGCAAAAAACCCAAAGATAGGTAACTTACAATTTATTTTTCCCGCACACCTATATAACAAACATTATAGTAGTGTTTCTTAAAATGATTTATATTTTTTGCTATAGTGTGGAAGATGTCTACTCTCAAAAAAAGTGAACAATGCAATCTCCGTAATCGACTGCTGCAAGCCATTCTACATGTTTTCAGCTATCAACATTTTTGCTTCAACACCTACATGTTCTTTGCCTTGCATGTTTGTGCTTGGAAACTTAGATGCTAGAATGAGAACAAAACAGTCTTTATCTTTTCTGTGAACTATATGTTACTTCTGTTTCTTCTATATATTAGGGAACCAAAACGTTTCGTTTCGTCCTGTTAATTGTACAATGCAGTTCAAGGTGATGCATTCAAGCCCCGCAGCATCGCGCGGGCATTTTTTCTAGTGTATACAATAATGACAAGGAGACATGAATGATGAATTAACAGCAACATACACGATGTTTGTGCAATGTGGTGGGAGTAGGGTGGTTCTATTTCATGTTTGAGATTACTTTTGCTTAAATGTAAATATTTTCCCTCTCATTATTAGTGTACATGTACAACAATTTCGGTATTTCTTTCATTATTAGCACAAGGATCAAACTGACTTAATTTTTTCCGCTACCCCTTGTAGAATCGAACTATAGGGAAATTTATCGATGTGTATAGAATGCTTAGATTCCTGACAATATGTTTAGCCCGCTAACGTTTTTGTTCTCAAGTCACGGTTATTGATTATTTTCAAAGTAGTTATTTTGGAAATGTTTGCAGATTAGTCCTAGCACAAAATTTGAGACTCGCTTTCTCAGCTCCATAACTCGTAACAATCCATTTAATCAAGTAGAAAGGAAGCATTAATACATCAAGGCTTGAGATAGAACACAGAGCTTAAGGGAGGTTTAAATCAACTTTAAGACTTGGACTGACGTTTTTCAGTAATTTCGAAGGGGTGACAGGGATAGCTTCCTATTCAAGGAAGAAAAAGACAGGAAGTTCTTTTTCTCATAAGAAAATGGCTTATTGGTCGAAATGCCCATTGAACTTGTCATTATGTCTCAGTTTACCCCTTGAAACCGGTTTTGTCTCACTTTGCCTCTTGACATTTTTAACGGTTTGCCTCACTTTACCCACTTTTGTTAATGGACTGTTAAGTTTAAGGGTATTTTAGACATTTCAGTTTTTACACATTTATTTACCTCTTGCTTACACACTAAATGTCACATCCCGGCCCAAACCCCCACCACATCCTAGACTCAACTCCACCGTAGCACGATATTGTCCGCTTTGGGCCCCGACCACACCCTCACGGTTTTGTTTCTAGGAACTCACACGAGAACTTCCCAGTGGGTCACCCATCATGGGATTGCTCTCGCGCGAACTCGCTTAACTTCAGAGTTCCGATGGAACCTGAAGCCAGTGAGCTCTCAAAAGACATCGTGCTAAGTAGAGATAGGAATATACATATAAGGCTTTAAGGATCTACTCCCTTGGGCGATGTGGGATGTTACACTAAACAAGTCTCAATTTTATTTTTGACAACTCTAATTCAAGAGCATAAATTTTGGGTATTTTTAAAAATAAATTATTCAATCAATAGAAAAATTATGAGCAACAAAATCATTCTATCAACCAAAATAAAGGTTGCAAGACATCCATATATTGGCTCAAAATTTTGCAATTGAAAAATGTTCATTACAACAAAATTATTATACCATTAAACTATCATCTCCAAATTAAATACTTCCCAAACAAAAAAAAAATCATTTAAAATAAATGTGCACAATTTGAAACAAAAAATTAAGTAGTGACAACCATTGTTAAAAATACACACAAGGAGTTAGTAAAATTAGATACAGAACATTTAAACATTCATAAAACAACATGAATAAATAGAGGAAAAATTAACAACTCACCCCATAGAAATTAATCAAACATTGTAAACTTGCAATGGACAAAACAAACAGTGAAAAAAAAAAATCAAACATACAAAAATTCATAGAAACAACAGAGAGAAAAACTCAAAATCTTAGTAAAATTAAGAACAAAAATCACTAATCACACAACAAAATCTTAGTTAGGAAATGTTGTTATAGTTAGTTACTGTTGTAACTTCCTGTTTAAGAAACAAATGAATAGCAGCTGTATAAATGATAGTCTATGTACTGTGATGATCAATCAATGAAATACAATCTTCTCAACTGAATTCTCTCTCTATTCCTCTTCTTCCTTTCTCTCTCTAGCTTGTGACGACCCATCCTGAATAAATATATATTTTCTCCTCAAATGTGTGAAAATGAAGATTATGCCCTCGTTGGCTTGGTGACGTGGATGTACGTATATAGTTTTAAATTATTTTTCCCGCTAATGTGATCAAATTGTACTCGATGCCATGAGAGCGTTAACACGAGTTAGGGCAGAATCAAGTTCGTAGTGAAAATGTTACTAAGGATTAAGTGAAATTTGGGTTGGTTTCTTTTTAGTTGGACTCAATTGTTTGAGCCCTAAACATTGTAGCCCAACTAGGGCTTGAGACCCTTTTATTTCTGACCTATCCCGTGACATACACACACATACACACGTGCCAAACCCTTCTCCCTCTCCTTCTTTCTCGAACCCCCTCTCTCGTCCGTACAAGCGTAGACCAATTGTGAAGAAAACCCTCCAAACTTCACGGATCGACCTTTCTAAGACCATCATCAGTCTTCTCTTGACTCCACAAGACTGGTGGTACCATTGGTTTGAAGAAAGGACGTCGGGAACCCGAGAACTCGCGAGCTCCGGTGGCGTAAAAGTTACTCTGACATGATTGTCGAAAATTTTCAAGGTTTTAAGGTCCAAAAAGGGTCCTAACCAACTCTATTGGGACCTTAAGCTAGTTTTGAAGTGATTTGGACGTCGGAATAGGCTAGTTCGTAGAGTTGAAGACCTTGCCAAAATTTCGAAGGATTTTCCGACTACTTTTCGTGGGTTTTAGGACTTCAAATAGGTAAGGTTAGGTTCTCCTTGTTGAGAGCTTCAAATCCATATATGATTTGTGGAATTTGGTTGAAAAATGAATGAGAAAATGAAGTTTTAAAATTTTCTAGAATCTGGCATTGAAGACGGCGGCCGATGGTGGTTTCCGGCGAGTCACCGGAGAAGAAGAGGAATATTCCGTCAACTTTGACGGAATATACCGACTGCGTCAGGTAATTTTAACGGAATATTGTAGGAATTTATCGGAATATTCCTATTACCGTTAGGGATTCTGTCAGTGTGGGTGTCTGGTGCATGTGGCCATGCCTTGGCCAGCGCGTGAGACACCAAATTTTTTTTCTAAAAATATGGGGATGCTCGTGGTGTTGAGTAGGCCACGATGGTATATTCAAACACCCCAATTGAGCAATGTACGAGAAGTTATTACACGGTTTTGGTTATGTGCTTAAAATTAACGTTAAATTAGTTGTTTCGCATATAGGTGAGACGTTTTCGGAGGACGAGCGTAGCCAGGCGAAACTCGGGGATTACGACCCTGCTACATACTAGTGAGTGGGCTTTTGGTTTTCTATATATACGTATATATGTTTTCCATTTTCCCAGAAATGGTTTTAAATGGATTTATGTTTTTTTAAATGTCATGTCAATTGCATTACATTTTAGTATATGCATTAGTATAGATATACATATTATTGCATGATGCTGCGGACGCCTAGGTAAGCTTCAGGTAAATGCATGTTGATGATAGTGATTGCAGTGTGTATAGTTTTGTTTAGATGCATTTAGTGCTCATTATCCTGCACCCCAGTGTTAGTGCTCCGCTCGAGGCCAGGGCCTAACCTTCACGTGATCGTTCACCTTCCGCACCACATGCTCACCTTGGATCCAAGGCAGGTGCCAGCCTGTCGTACAGACCACATTAGGTGGTTCTAACTCGTAGGTGACTTGCAATACTTCACATAGCCTTCACGTGATTGTAGCACTTGAGCGTATCTATTTACACCCAGCCTGTCGTACGGACCACATTAGGTGGTTTCAACTTGTGTGCGAGAATTGGTAGATGAGCTATAGGCTCAGCCATACAGGTCAAGTTAGGTGACTCCGGCTGACATATCAGTTTGCATTGATTTATTTCACCTGGCTTACTTATTTCATTGCTGAGATACTTGACATGGCATATACTTGGTTTTCAATACTCTCTAGCATGATTTCTACATATGTATGTATTACTATTTTCTGGGAAATTATACAAGTTTTACAGTCGGGGGTTATTATTTTTGGAAAGAGAAATGGTTTTAAAAAGCTTGTTTTTGCCCACTCACGTTTTTTGTTTTGCGCCCCTCCAGGTTCTAATTAGAAGTTTGTGTTGGTGGCTTACGAGGACTCTACGGTGGTTCTGACAAACTTCAATTAATGTAGGAATCTTGTTCATGTCTTGTATAATTAATACTTAGCCTGCTGGACTGCACTTAGGTTACATACGCTCTGAGTACTTGCATAACTACTTTAAACACCTCTGCACCCTTTTTATGGTTATCTTAGTGTAAATTAGTTAGTTTTGGTTTTTAATTACTCACATCTTCAATCACTATCACTTCCGCTCTACGCTCATGGCTACGTCACCCTCACGTGATGGCCAGCATGCCTCAATTCCGATCGGGGTGTGTCATAGCTTCTGATATACACTAGTTTACAAACCTATCATCCTATGATTAGGATGAAACACTTCATTTAGTTTCTCAATTCAATGCAAACTTGATGCAATTTTCATATTTGTGTTCTTGAACCTTCAGATGTAATTTATTATTGATTATTTATGGTTTGATGCTTAGCTACCATTATTCTATAGATATAATTGTGTTTGTTTGTGTTGAGTGATTATCTTGCCTTACATATAAGCACAACGATTTAGAGATTCCATATGCATATGAGCTAGAACTAGACTTGTATGTGTGTATGTTTATCGTTTCCAAAGAGCTTAACAGATTGTTGTATGTAAAATTAGACCTTGACCTTAGGCTAGTTGCATACGAAAATACTTGACTCTTGCCATGACCATTGGGAGAAATTATATTTAAGGGAAACAATTGCAAATTGAGTTGGAACAAGACCTTTTTGTAGATAAACTTCAAGAATTAAATTTGGAATTGTATGAATGCATTGATTTGAGAAACGTATGATTGAGTGTGGATTCCGAAACCTTAGGCTCACCATCCATAGATTACAGTCCCAATTCATTACAAACATTCCTTCACTGTCGTGTTTTATTTATTTCTTTTACTATCTTGTTTCGTAGGTTTTCTTGTTTGCTTATCAATCAACCACATTGTGATTTTTAGTTTAATGCTTTAGTGTTTAGTTGGGTCATAATACGAAGAAAAAAACAAGAGTCATTGTTTGTACTTTTGACTTGATAGTTATTATTTTTGTTTAAATTATTCTTGTCTCTGTGGAATCAACTCTAACTTATCGTTATACTATCTTTTTCAATTCG